TAGTTTGTGTGCTTTTATTATCTTTGTTTATCATAGTTTTGCCTCATTAAATTATACGTCAGATGAATAATAGGGGAAAGATACTGAGGCACTGGAACATTAAAGCTAACCTACCTAGAGGGTACTTAGTATCAGACAGTGCTGTCTAGATTTAGAGATCCTGACTCTGCAGAAGCACATATGTGTAAGGACACTTTTAAAAAATTATGGCTGGATCTAGCCATAAATTGTGTAATTTTTGGTGGCTCTGTGCCTAACCTGTGCTACACATTTTTTCTTCTTGGTAGTAAGCACGCACTTATACTGGTTTAATGCCTGTAGTTCAATAGACAGTACAGATAAACAGTTCCTTTTGGGTCGGTGATTTAAGCTCTGTTATCCAAAGGGCTAGCTCCAATCCACCGATTCCTTGTGTGGGAGGGGAAAAAAAATGTTTCTATCAAGTTTTGTGTTGCTCAAGGTTAAAATCTTGTTTTCTATTGGTGTGACCAAGGAAAGTTGAGCTTGGGGGACAGGAGGTTGGTTGATTAGCTGAGGTGGTTTTGTTGTAGGGAGTTTTTTTGGGGGGTGTTTGGAGGTGGTTCTGGGTTTGGGTTTATTTCCAGAGTGGTAGCAAAGCAGTGCTAGAAATACACTGCCTCCACAAACCTGTCTTAAAGGAGAGCCTTCATCCTTGTACTCAGTATGAACTAGGGCATTTCTGAAGCCATAGTGCTTTTTCTTGCTTGCTTGCCACAAGTGGGTTTTGCTCTATGCTTCTAGCTAAAGCCCCTTGATGATTCTTTTTGCTCTTGCTCAGGTTTAATTCTCAGTTTACTATCAGTTGTCACTAGCAGAGATGTGATGCAAACTTTCTAAAGCCAAGTGCTATGGAAAAGCAGAGCACGGAGTTTGGATTCCCCTATCGTTCACAGAACTGAGCCTTCCAGGTCAGGGTAGATTGTGTTTTTGCCACCATCTGTTGTGCCTGGGGTTGCCAACGCAATACTTTTCATGACCAGTAACCTTCCACAGTTTGCTGTTAAAAAAAAAAAGTGGATTTTTTTTTTTGGTCATCAACAACTTCTACTCTTACATGAATTTGTATGTGCTTTCAGAAGGCCAATTTTAAGAAAAAATTACATGGCAGGAGAATGTGTAACACATGTAAGAAATTATCTAGGGTTTTGGCTCTGAAATCTGTATTTGGGAGCTGACCAGTTTTTCAAGTTCTGACCCAGCAATATGCAGGTAACTTTGGTAATTTCTTATTTAAAGAGTGCCTAAAGCACTGCTAATGATCTCCGCACTATAGGAAACTTCTTCCGTAGATTGTCTTGTGCATTTAGCAGCTTCTGGTGATTATTTCACCATGTATTTAGAGCAGATTCCAGTTAGCATATGAGTAACATCATGTCAGTTCTAGTTCTTTCGTTCTGACATCTCTTTTGGCTCCCAGTGTGATTTGGCCCGGTTTTTCAAAATGTTGATCCTGAGTCCAAATGTAACTTTGTGGGTGGTACATATGTCAAGCCCTAGTTCAGTATTTTTGGACAGCAGTAGCATTTCATAATTCTTTTGAAATGAAAAGAAGTAGTTAACTGAAAAAAATGCAGCTAGATCTAGCTGGGCACAAGCTCGCCTTTTCTACTCCCCCCTCCGCCCCACTGTTTTTCCATTTGGAAAAATAGAGGTTTACGTGGCACAAGCACTTGACAGGATTTAGGCTCATTCAAAGCAGCAAGCAATAGCATAGCTTTGTCTCTATCACCTGTCTTGTCATGCCCTGGTGGCCACTGAGACCTCCTGGGATGCGGATGGGGAGAGTGGAGGGTTGCAACCCTGTGTTTGTGTTTGTTAAAACAGTGAGCTAGGCTGAATTACGTAGATGGCTGAATAAGGCCATGTTGGCACTAAAAAAGCCAAACAACCCCCTCAGGTTCTCCATATGTCTGTGTTTGATATACCTACTGCCATATTATATCTTTATATACAGCACACTCTAAACAGCACAGGAAGGTATAAATGCAACTTTATTACATAAAATCAAGTGAAATAGTCCAGAAGGTTGTAGCTTGTGTGAAATAAACACACAAACAAAGTACAGGAGATTTCACAGGGCATAAATCAAAATGAACTTCATAGCTTCCTTCCTTCCTTCTCCCCAGTGCAGTTGCTGAGCTGCTAGCTGAAAAGCTGTCCTTCATCCTTCTCTTGCAGCAAACCACACGCTCGTATATATTATTAATTTTGTTTACTAGTAATGCAGGACATAGGTACTTTTCTAGAGTGTCTCAGGTTGCTTTTCAGTGTGTCTGTGCCAGCTCCACTGCTGCAATTGCAGTTCTGAGCATTGTTTTTCAAGTGCTGATAATTTTTCAGGCAATAGCAACATCAGCAAAAAAAGTGTGTTTGAGATGAGTCTTGCCACCCAAGTTCTGAGCCTAAGAGGTGATTTTCTGTGAGAAACCACAAAACAAATCACTGTAGCCCTCTGGGCTGCTTCCCTCACTTAGTCGCATAGCTTCAGAGGTCATAGGCTAGCCAGCTGCCCTTCCTAATCTGCTGATGAAACAAGTTAGCTTCAGCCCTTGCAACATGGCCTCTTCCAGCAACTTTGCACCGTTGTGTAGCAGTTGAAGGCCCTAGGGATGATGGTCCTTAGGGTGGTTCCATAAAAGATGCTGGACTCGGCAGTGGGGACCGTTCTTTTGAAGGACACCGGCCTGAATGATGCTTTTTTCACCCCTTCTCTTTTTCCTTCTTCCTAAAGTGCAGTCAGTGTGAGGTGCTATGCAGGAGAATATAAGGAAGGAGGGGAGAGAGGAAAGAAAACTTGATCCCTGTTTTTGGCTACTTACAGGACAGTGTAAAGTGGGGGCTTCAGACTTAAGTATTTGTAGTTATCTTACAGATAATATAGTTTGTGGGCTTGTCAGGCTTGTGGTTTGATTAGTCATTTGACTCTGATGCCCAATATGGACTCAGCTGATACCCTTTTTCTTGGTGTCAGAGCACAGCTGGCTCTTTGCAAGGAATAGGAAGGAGTTCAGACTCCTCCTCAAGGAGGTTTCGCCAGGGCTCTCAGCACTGTAGGTCCAGCTGGAAGCTTTGGGACATGTTCATGAGCAGTCAGGGATGGTAAAATTCTTCCTCCACATTCAAACCAGGATATCCAAGTTGGTGAGGCAGAGATGTTAGCTATTCCCTGTTGGAAATAAAGGAAGGAACAAGAGCGAAGTCCATGACTGACTCATCCTTCCCAACAAAATGCTATTCCAGGATTTAAACATCAGGGAAGTATTATCATGCTGGCTACTTGTAGTGATTTGTGCCTTTTTGTTTGGTTTAAGAGCTAATCTGTTTGCCCTCCCCAGTACAAAATGCCATTTAAATGCCTTCACTGTATTGTCTCTTATAGAGATGCCCAAGTATCATGGTTATATACCCAAGATACTCTTGACTACGTGGTCTCCCATGAAGCACCCACTGTGTTTTGCAAACCTCACTTGGATCTGTTTTGGGATTTCACAGCTTAGTGATGTTTTGTAGTATGGGAGCGGAGTCCTCCACTAGTTTCTTCTTTTGTGTTTTGGTTGTTTTTCTTTTTTCTACCCCTCCCCTAACCCCCAAACCCTAATATGGGCCCTAGTTGCGATTACTGGGAAATGTAAAGGTGGGGCTTCAATGTCTGTGCTACTCTTAAAGTCTGAGGCTTGCCTAGGTGATGCAGCATGTATAGCTGTGTAATACAGCACCATTTATTGATCCCAGGTCTATGCCATATTTTGGTGAAACAGGGGGCAGTTCGATTACAATATCGGATTTCACCCTTAATTTTTAATTTCCTGCTGGTTTATGTCACAGCCTTAACATTGCTTAAACATGATTGAATGTGACTCCCCAGAGCTCAAGCAGCCAGCCCGGCTGGAGAGCCATGCAGCAGGGGCTAGGGGTGGCTGGCAGGGGACCCACCACGGCACCTTCCCTCCTCCTGCTTGTCCCTTCCACTTTGGCTGGTAGCGCTGACTCGTGCACTCAGGGCATGATTTTGGTATCACCCTGAGGGCTTTGGGCTGGGGTGGGCTGGGAGGGAAGGACAACATACAGGGAAAGGCTGGGGAGGGACAATTTTGCGGTGTGAAGGAAAGCGTGTCCCTCTGGGGTGACATACTTTAACCAATGAAGCTCCCCAGCACCTCAGCTCGATCGTGTGTAATACAAACCACAGGACTCTACAGCTTATGAGAATGACACAAATCTATTTATTTATTTATCTATTTCTCAATGGCGAAATTGCTCACCTTCTCACCTCATCAGTGACAACAGCTGGGTGTGTAGAAGGTGGAGTACGCAGGCATGTGGTAAACAGAATCCGAGCATGAGCATTTACTTCTCTTGTCTCTTGGCCATGGGAAAACTGCTGTGAAACGTGAAATCTCTGACAACTTTGACTGTTGCAGTCAAGGTCGAATGAGCACTAAATATCCTTCTAAGACTCTTCAGCCCGTGAAGCTTGTCTTGGTTTAAGTGGTCCTGAAAGGTGAGAACGGGATCGGAGAGCTGTTTCACACTTTGACTGTGTACACATCCTGTCGTTGCTCACCATTTCACATTAACAGTGTGAATCTAGTCATTGGTTAGCTTCTTGGTGGGTTTGGGGTTTTTTTTGTTTGGTTGGGGTTTTTTTATGACACTGTATTACGGTGTAGCTGCTGCTATAGCCAACAATATCCTACCTGATTAGGATGTTACTCCAGTCCACCTCTTTTTCCTTGCAAGCAATAGGAGCAGCTTGGCATGTTAGATATTTCCTCGTGTTCACTTTTCCTTTTGGTAAAATGGATAATTCTTTAGGGAAAATCTTTCCACAGAAAAAGAAATTTACATCTTGTGTCAAAGATAGAATCCCTAGGAAAAATAATGATTTTTTTTTTTTTTAATCACAGCTGCTTGTTTCAGGGCACTGGGTCACTAATTGAGTGCAAGCTTTATAAATGTTGTTTGTCCTCTCCCCACAGGGCATACAAAACCATTGAGGAAGATGACTTGAAGTTTCCCCTTATATATGGAGAAGGCAAGAAGGTGGGCACGTTTGCTTTCCTCAGACGAAAGGAAGAAGGAATTTTGTGCTGTTTACCACTCGATTTAGCCTGTGGCAGTCCAGTGTTTTCCACTCAGTATCTCTTTATTTTATCGTTTTGACAGCTTGAAAGAATATCTTGGTTCTGTCATAAATCAGTCTCATGTCTAGGGGGCGGCGGGGGGAGCTCAACATACTAAAAAGCATTTTTATAGCAAACATAGTCATTTGCTGTTCAGTTTGCGTTTGTTTTTCTTTCATTGTAAGTAGGCTACAATGAGACTGTCTTAAATAATTGACTTAAAATGTTCCTGGTTTCATTGTAAAATATAACTAGGCTGGATGAAGATAGCAAAATACTAAATGTTTGCTGAAGACAAAGCAGAAGGATATTTAATAACACTTTAGAGTGCTCTGAGATGCAAACCCCTAATTTAGGAAGGGGAGGGATCAGGGCAGGATTTGGGAAGTATAACACCCCTTAGCCATATCTTCTTCAGCTAGCGTACATGAACTCACTGTTGAATTTTTCTGATGTGTGAATGCTGATAGTTTTTCTTGAAAGGGAGAAACGAACTGTTCTGTTTGGGTGTACTTTGTTTCTAGCTCCGTGATTAAGAACAGTGAGATCATCAGTGCTGGTCTCAGCAAGCTTAGCTGGATGCAGCAATAGGATCAATATAAGGACGCAGTGGTGTCAGTTTGCCGATATTGGTATGCTTGCTGTGTTTCTAAATAGTGCTCCCCTGCTGCATTAGGTTCTTACCTTACCTTACGCTCTTCAAAATTAGTCCAAGTTTTGAAGGTTCAGACCTGCAGCTTATCTCTGAAGTTGGTTAGGTTTATAATTATTTGCAAAACATTTCATGCACATCTTTTTAATTTACTTTCTGATTCCCTTACGGAGCCAGGGGTTAGTGAAGCAAAATAACTTTGAGTCAGTTGCTCGCTGTTATTGATGCTGTGAGCTCTCTTGTTCAGAAGCTGCTGCAGCTAAACTGGAGTTTGCAGGAAGTGATATGCAGAGGGCGAGGTTCCCCATGAGGCAGTCTGCCTGGTCAGTCTTTGGAGAAGCGTTAATGAAGAAGAGCCCAGTACCTCTTGGGAAACAGCTTATGTCACAGAGGAAGGTGCTTGGGGAAGGAAGTGGTAGATCTGAGGTAATAGCAGACCTGCCCTGGATCGGCTCTCCACAGGGGAGAGCGCTGTGCTCAGTGCCATGGTCACCTGCGTGTTCAGCACTTTAAGGTGGCCTTTGGCACTTTTCCTTGGTGAAGGGAATATACAGCAATATGTCAATAGGAAGAGGCTGCAGGTTTCTTAGGTGAGTAATCAGGGTCCTCATCCTTTTTATAAAACCTGTTTACTAACAGTGTAATTTGCTGAAGGAATGCGCTTGTAGACTGGTGTGGGACAGCGAGGCGACTGGGTTGCGTTTCCGTAGTCCCAGTCCCTTACAGACGGCCACAGTCTAAGATGGGTGTACACAGACTGGGATGTGGATGAATACAAAGTTTGGAATAATGAGAGAAGTGGAGATGACATGAGTGTGAAAAGCTTAGAAGTTGACTAGCTGTGTTAAATCTAGCGTTTCTGGGAGAAAAAAGGGAATTCATCCCTAACTGGCAGTTATAGAGTAGGAATATTATCTCATTCCCTATTGACACAGTGCAAGTAACAAGATTTGATCCCATTGCTTTTCTTTCTTTCCAGGCTAGAGTTATGGCAACAATTGGAGTGACCCGAGGCCTGGGAGACCATGACCTGAAAGTGCACGACTCCAATATATACATCAAACCTTTCCTGTCCTCATCTCCCGAGGTAAAACAGCCAAGGTTCAACTATCTGATTTGTGGGAGAGAAACAAATACACTTAGTGTGCTTATTTGTTCTTCCCAAATTGTCCATTCTGATTGTGGTCCAATCCAGGTAACATGCTGCCTTTCCCAAAGGTGCAGCATGTTAGTAACATCCACATAGTAGGAATGTTACAAGTTCCCCAGCTATGTGCTCTGCCCCTTGTTGCTCCAGATCCCTGGCAGAGCATTGATGCCTTCTCACTCCCCGGTCTATGGTTACCCCGTAGCCTTGCCATTCAGTGTGACAGACACCCATCTCTCCCCACCTCATGCTCCAGCTCCCCTTGAGGTCTAGATCATGCTGCCTTCACAGAAGCTGATGTAAATCTGTGCTCTCCAGAAGGGAGCACTGGATGTCTTCCATGATAGCATAGTATCCTGCATTACACAGAGGATACCAGATCAACTCGTAAGCAGGAAAATGCCAAGAGCGATTGGAAGCGTGCTTTATGCTTCCATCTGTCTGCCCCTTCACCTCCAGTTCTTAATTCTTTATGATGGTTTTGTGCAAACACCAAATAATGGCAGTGTGCGTTCCCAAATGATGGCATAACGAGGGGATTATGCAGTATTTGTGTTACAGGTAGTTTTGAATATCTCCATTATTTTGGCTTGCCTCGCCACAAACAATTCCAGTTTTTGACCACCAGAGACATTGTAGTGAAGGATATCGAGCCTTCCAAAGGGATTTGAATGTATTTGTTAAAAAGAAACATGCAAACCTCAGGGTTTTTTTCCGAATGACACATATTTTTCATAAAATATTAAGCAAGAGCAAACCATCCAATGACAGCACAAAAAGACGAGGCTTTGCTTCCATGGCCCAAACGCTGAGAGCCGTCCACCATCAACTGCCTTGCTGGAGTTTTAACCATACCCAGTATTTGACCTTGAATTTATTGCTTGCTATAGCAGTGCGAAAGAGTGAAAATACACAAATGGCATAATACTGCTAGGAAGGAACCAAATTATTAAATTAACCTTGCTTAGAACATCTTTGAGACTTTAAAAATAAAAATTAAAAAGGTGCTGAGAGATTCTGGCCCTGAAGAAAAGGAGGAGATCTACAGACAGCCCCTTCTTCACATTTCCTTGCTGTCAATCCAGTACCTTCCCTTTCCCCCCTTTGAATATGTGTAACCCTCGCTTGGGACCTGCTGCTGTTCTCAGCCAGGCAGGCAGCAGCTCTGCCCTCATCACTGTGATGGATTTGTTTAGTGCCAGCGAAATGATGCAATTCTACCTATTTATTTTTCTTTCTTGCATATTGAGACCCAGTGTTTTTGGGGTATGTAATGGCTGCAGCACAGTATCTCAGCAGTATCATCTCTGCCAGTTGCTGCTGCAGTATTTGTCTGTGTGTATAAACCAAAGCTTCTCATGGGCTTTTCTGATTTGTGTGGAGTGTCTGTACGTGTTCAAATTCTGGAATATGACATCCAGTTCATATGCTATCCACGTTTCAGGATCTCTTAACTGCTTCACAAAAGGGAAGCAAAATTGGCTTTTTTTCCACATTCCCTTCACAGCTAAATTCAGCAGAAATGTACGAGGGCAGGAGGAGGAAGGACAGAGCACTAGCCACCTCAATCTTGAGATACTGGCAAAAAAGCCCTGAATTTTATTAGGAAGTAACATATGCTCCAGCCTGCTTTCCATTGCACCTTCTCTTAATCATCTCTTCCTTCTTTTCCCAGAGAGAGTCCCAGTGCTTTATCTCCTCATGTTCTTCCCTGACTTGTTCTGTCCATACGTGGACAGTGCACCTTGCACAGAAACCAGCATTAAGAAACAGTGTCTTTATGCTGCCATCTGGGAAGCTTGGCACTTGGAAGTAAAGGCAGTGGCGTCAAGCAGCAGTCATATTTAGCCCTTGTGCAGCATTGGATTTCGAATTGTTTATATAGAGGTAGGGAAGCGCAATGTCTGGTTTCTAGACCTGGAAAAGGGGAGGCACAGGAAATTAAGGCACACGGTGAGTCGTGACAGAGGGAGGATCCAAGTCCTCTGGCTTCTGTTTCTGTGCCATAATTACAGCATCCTTTCCCACGTTGGGGGGCAATGTGGCGAGTTTTCAGAACATTTTACTTCCAGTGTGACAAAGCTCTGGTATGCCATGTCCATCAAAATTTAGCTGAAGGAAAGGTCAGCATCCCTGAGACTACATCCAGAAATAGGCATATAAAAGTAATTTGAGGGCAGTGTAAAATGATACTTGGAGAGAGTGCCAGGCTATGGGAGGAGAAGACATGTAGACAAGACTGACAAATGTAATCAGGATTCAGTGGCTCAGCTGTTACGAGACCAGATTTGGAGGACTTCTGCAGGTTGGTGAGCTCTAGAGAATTGAGCCTTTTATAATGAACTGGAGTAGCACAAAGCAGGCAAGCCATGGCTGAGGCTCTCTGGCCTGGAATTAAATATTTATTTTTCATAATGGAACAGTTCATTTGAAAGCTTTCAGAAGGAAATTCTGCTTTTTAAAGCTCAGCAAGATCCACCTTGTTGCAGCTGAAAAGCAGAATTTCATCCTGAGATTTTTCGAACAGCAGCTCAGCAGTTTGGTGGGAGAGGTGTGGCTCCGATGGCAGCGTTTGGCCCTTGCCAGCAATGCACCTGAAGCCAGCCACCACAGCAAATGATAAGAAGGTAATGAAAGAGAATTTTTCCCCTTCCATTACGTTAGTAAAATCTTTCTGACAACTCCACAACTATGTCAGAGGAGACCACTTTAGATTCACATCTGCCTTCTGGAGAAATCTCTTGGAATTACAGCGTTTAAAGGAACAAGCGAGGCAAATACTTAGAGAAGTACTGTTTGATCAAAGGGAGTCAAGGTGGTTTCAAGAAGCAAACATCCTGCTTGTAGCTTGAAGTCCTTCAGGGTTATTTCTACCAGAAAATTAAAAAAAAAAAAAAAAGAAATGCAGTAGATGGTCTTGCATGAGCACTTTGATTTCTCAGAAAACATTTGAGAAGCTGTTCTGCATCACGGGTTATTAATATAAAAGATATGAAGCTATAGATTAAGTGGAAAGTTGGCACAGTCTACTGGAAATTGGCTAAAGGGCAGGAAACAAAGGGTGGCAGTAAAAAGCTAAAAGGAGATTAATTGGTGAGTGCTGCAGGGAGCAGTGTTGGGACCTGCTTTTTATTATTTACATATAAATTACTTGGAGGGTGGTATTGAAAGATCTTGTCGTTTGCCAGCGAAGCTGTGCTGGATAACACTGCGCATAAAAAGGGACGATACAATTAAGAAAGGGCTTAATTTATTGAAGTAGCCGAGTTGATCAATAGTGCAGGCGAGTGAATGCGGGCTGTTGTTTGGCTCGAATTCCCCTGGGGCTGGCTGCTGAGGAGCACCTCAGGTGGCTGCAGGCTCGCGTGTCACTCTGTTGTGAACAGTTTTCAAGCCGCAGGGACTCGCATTGGCTGCCTCTTAAAAACAAACCTGGCAAACAAGCCGCAGCGCCTTCGCAGAACTGCTGTGGTCCTTTTCAGCAGCGAAACGCAGGTTTTGTCCGGTGGGTAGATCCATTTGAAATGTAAAAGTAAAACCAGCCCACCTGTTTGTTCGTTGCTTACCCAGAGCATTTTTCTCAGCGCTCTTGACTGCATGTAGGTGAGCAATATGAGAAACAAATATCTGGATTGAAGAAAGGAGTTATGTGACAAACTGCATTACACACGTTCAGAAAGATGTCATGTGCGACTATGGGCTCTAGTGGTGTGTACCCACTGTTACCTACCAGCAGAGGTTTGTAAGTACCAGTCAGAATAAAATATAGTGTAGCCCAACTCTTACTGTCATGGATGTTTGTGCTGCCAAGGTGGTGCTCCTTCCTTACAGTTGGCTTTTTACATTTTCTGGTTACTAAAGTCAAGTTTAGCTAGGTAACAGGTCAGCTGCTCCACATCAAGACATCAGTGGATGGTGGAAGTATGGCGACCAAACTGGGCTCCTTTGAGAGGTGCCCTGATGCTCCAGAGAGATGTTAGCATGAGAAGGTTTGCCAGGGCAGCACAGAAGGGGCCGGGAAGCTGGGGGGAGTTGGTGGCAAGGCTCTTGAGACAGCATGGGAGGCAGAGGACAAAGCATAGGTAGCCCGAGGTGTTTGGGGCAGAGGACATGAGTTTTGTGGAGCACTATCAGGATTGACGTCTGGCTGCAGAAGCAATGAGTCATGGGGGAAAGCCTGAAGATTCTGGGTAGAATTGCTAGGAAATTTGTCAAGGGTGCAGCACCAGTTAAGGAAATCTTTGTGCTGTTGGACGGTGTCTGGCCAGCCGTCATCTGCATTAGCGGGGCTGTGTGATACTGTTTTGCAGTGTGTGCAGCTTTGTGAAAACTTATGTCGCAGACAGAACGTCGCTTAAACCTCGCTGTTGTTTAGTTTCCCAAAATACAGCTATGGGAAGGGAGGCAGTGGTTAGGTAGGTTGGCTCTGGAATTTAAAAAAAAATTTTAAAAAGTAGTAATTTCCATTGGAGGCAATGAGCTGCTTTCGGTCACATAAGATTTACAGGGCTGCGGGGTCGCTTGCTGTTGTAGGCACTTAAGTAACTCCCTGGATCTCTGCTTGTCGTTCCGAAACTCTCGCCTTTTTTGTACAGCGTGTGTGGGGTATGCTATGGGGTGTTGCACAATGTGGGGTGTGTGGAGTGGATGTTGAGTGAGCCCTGCTGGTCTGAGCATCCATTACACACGCCCTGGTGGTGCTGCCCAACCTGTGTGCCTCTGGGAGCTCTGCTGTCACGCTGCTCTGTGTCCATCTGAAGGCACATGTCGCTACTGCAAGAGACCCTCATTGTCCCAAGTAAGAACTAGAAAAAAGCTGCTAGCACAAAGGTGAAGGGTTAGGAGCTGGCTTCTTTCTGCGCCTGGACAAGGTGGTCTGTGAGCATAACCTGAACCTTCGATAGACTGGACAGCTCTAAATTAACTCATTTTTGTCAGCAACGTACTAGGGCCACCTACCGCTGTATTTTAGAAATCTGAGGAAAGACAGAAAGAGCTTAAGAAAAAATTAAGTGCTATGTGGACATGGCTGCTCTAATGTGTTGCTGCTGTGGTAACTGGAAGGCAGACAAAGCTGCGTTTCAGTGAACATTTTGGTGCATGTCCAACTGGTCCTTGTGTACAAGAACCTTACCTGAAGTTGTCCCAAGCTTGCCTCCTGTAACCTTGGCATTCTTTTTTCCTTAGCCTGGGTACCAGCCTAGCATCCCTTATTGCTCACCCCACTGCCCTTCTCTGCACCTCTTCTGACATCTAGTTCCTTCTCAATTGCAACCCTTTCTGGAGGTGCTCAGTTCACAAAGCTTTTGCTTTTATGAAGTAACTACCTTGTTCCCAGATTACTCATAATTAGTGATTGCATTTTTTTTTCTTCTCCCCAAAAACTAAACATGCTCTTGGTAGAATGATCTGTTCTTGGCATTGCTCTCGCATTGTGCTACACCAAGGTTTTGGACCTTTTGACCTGTGGATTGGCTGCAGGTAGCTTTGAGAAGTTTCTTATCCACCCCAGTGCCACTCCCCAGTCAGACAAGATTGTTCATTTTGGGAGGATTCAAATCAATGATGCATGGTCTTGGTTTCCTGCCTTCTCCCCCACCAACGCTGCAAAAACGGCTCTTGTGGTGTAATATGTACTTTGCCTGGGTGCAAGAGCCATGGTAGATGTGTTTTTCTGAGCGCTGATGTTTGAAGCTTGGTTATTCCTACAAGGGGCTTGCTGCTGAGTGCATCCCTGAGCATTAACCCGATGCTCTCTCAAATATTTGCCCGTACCCAAGAGATCTGACCAAAACATGTGGTGCTTACTGATGGCTGTGTTGGCCAACTTACCCCCCACACCCCAGTGATTTCTGAGTTGAAACCCTGGGCTGTTATAGGCTGAACTAGATTTTGGGGAATGGGGGCTATGACAGCTACTGGTTTCTGTGCAACAGGCTTGAGAGGAGAGCTGTGCTGCATATAGGGATCTTTTCTATAACAGTATTCCCACTCAATTTGAATAAGGAGATATGCTCTAATGAAGAGAGTATCTTGCCTTGACTTTAATCCTTTCCAAAGTCCTTATTCAGCTGCTACCTTATATAATGAAGTGAAGGTTACATTTTACAAATGACCTTCTTGTGCTTTTGAGTGAAAGGCGAACAAGTAAGAATTAGCAGTCAGGTCTAGGTGATTTTTTTTTTCCCCCTCCAGTACTGGTTGCAGTCCCATAAAATCATAATTACATTAAAAGGTCCAGGCATTTTATGTGCATTGCCTGCTCCATGGCTCCTAAGGGGAGAATGCACCAGGAGGGAGAATAAAACAGCTCATATTTTCTAGTTATGCCAAATGCTTGTTCTGACAAATTTCCCGACTGCCGCTGCTGTTAGTGGAGCCCGAGGCCGGAGCAGGGTGCGTGACGAGGTGCACTGTTTCCAAACTTCAGTACAGATGATTGTTTCCTCCTGTCTGCTTTGCCAAGGTTGTCACGCTTCTTTCAAACTGTGGTTCTTGCTGTGGTAATTAAAGTGCTCCATGAGCGCTTCGTAACGGCTCCCCATCGCAACCTGGAAATTGCAGGCGGTTTGTCAGCTGGAATACAGTGTGTGCTGGAAGGAGAGTTACACCCAACTAAGGGCTTGGTTTAAAACACTTGCTGTGACCTTTCCTCATGTTCTGGCTCAGCTGACGGCCTCCTGGCCCACCCCGTGTCTGCCCCCTCTGCTCCCGGCTTTCCCCAGCCTCGTCGGGAAGAGGATAGTGGAAGTTGTTTTAAAGGCAGGGTGTTACGAAGGTGCCAGCAGCAGTAGTCAGCCTGACTGTGGCTGCAGACTGACAAGGTGAAGCCAGTGGGCATTTTAATAGTGTGGATAAGCTTGGGGGTTCACTTTTGTGCAGATCTTGAATCGGTCTGTACCTACTGAACTCCTTACAGATACAGATAACTGAGCAGGTAAACAGTTTTTCTCCATTTCGTGGAACTACTCACTTGCTGAGGCATAATTCTTGAGTGCAGCAGCTGCCTCAGGTCTAGAAAAGTGAATGCAATGCCTTCTGCGACACAGGCGTTTCTGAACATGTGCAATATGTCTGGCAGAGTTAAATGGATCTGGACAAATAGTGAAAACAATTATTTGTGAATATTTTATTAGAAAATATCAAAAATTCATCAAATAAATTATTCAGCTTCCATATGACTAGTCCTGCCAATGATAGGGAAGAGCCTCACGCTGCAACCAAGCTGCCAGGTGGGGGAAGCTTCAAGCGCTGCTTTACAGTCTGGTTTAGGAACGCTTGCATCCATCCCGGCTGGGGTCAGCACTTGAGCTGCACTGAGCTGGGACAGGAAGGGGTGGTGTCTTGAGGGTTAAATTGGAGACAGACCCCAGCAGTGCTGTGGGAGAGGTATTTCACTGCCCTGGCCAAACCTGCTAACTCACAGCCAAACTCAGCAACGTTTCACAAACAGGTCTGACAGTCTCCTCCTTCATGGATGTCTCTTGGGGTTTTTTTTTGTTTTAGGTGAGAGTCTATGACCTCCTGCAGTACGAGCATGGGCCAGATGATGTTCTGATCCTAGCTACTGATGGACTCTGGGATGTGCTGTTAAATGAAGAAGTGGCAGAAGCTGTCACTAACTTTCTACCAAACTGTGACCCCGATGATCCCCACAGGTTCGTGCTCATCCCTGATTCTCTAGCTTCTCCACAGAAGAGCATTTTCTGGTAACGTATTTTTGTAGGAAGTATGATATGAATAACATTCAGTAAATATGCAACACTTACAAGATGGCATTTTATAAGATGGATGGAGCCTCTACAGCAAATGTGGGGGTTTGGGGTGGAGGGGGAGGGGAGTCTGTTATAACTCAGAATTGCCTATCTTCAAAGGAAAAGTTGTGGGATCACAGTATCTTGGCATAGGATCCATTTTGTTTGCCGTACGAGGTCCTGTGGAAACGGTGGGAGGCTGAGGTCTTAGCAACAGGTCTCTGTCTCCAGCAGTGACAGGTTTCCACTTAAGTCTCCTCTGGATAGTCCCTTGACACTAAAGATTGTTTCTCACTAGGACATCATCAGCATGTATCTCCCTCTCTCTCACTGTATGTATGTACGTATAAATACTGCACAGTGTGGTTCCCACTCATTCCTGGTCATGCTATGACCTTTAAACCCACCTTCAGTAGGGGATGCTCAGTGCTACCAGCTTCAGGACAGGTGTGGCGACAAAATAGGGTTAAAATAGGTGGAAAGTCTGACTCTATTTGATTTAGTTGGATTCTGTTTCATTTCACAATGTTAACCTACCTCATCCTCTTCATTTTCCTGTCTTTATAACCTCTTACTTGATCAGTTTTTCTCTTTAAAACATACCATCAAGCAAACAAACAAGTTCCCAAACAACTAGCTAGAGCGCTGTCTGCCTTGAGTAAGTCCATCAGTCTGTCTGCTGCCGAGTTCGGTGTCGCTGTGAATTAAAACATTATGCTAGAGATCAGAAGTCTCTCGCTTGTAAAAGGGAGGACTGTGAAAGTAGAAAGAGCTTTATCCTTCCCTAGGGACTGTTCAGGAAGGGAAGTGCGTGTTGCTCCTGAATTCAGGCCTGTCCGTCGCTGTCTTCTGCCCTCGCCCTGGGCTTTTTACGCATCCGCAGTTGGCCTACAGAAAGCAGAGTTTCAGAAGTAAGCACTGGGATATCTTGGCAGCCAAGTGAAAACATGCGGGACAGTGCGAGAGCTCAAGTTACAGTTGTTTAGATGTGGCAACTCTTGAGGGCATGGGGAAACCCATCTCAAAATGGGTGTTTCTCATGTTTCTAAGTGGTCATCTTCACAGGGTCAGTCCTGTTCTCCATCAGCAAACAAGGAAGATAACTGGGACACGCTGACAGTCACTTGGGATTTAAAGTGAGGGCAGCTCCAAAGTAACTCGTGAGCAGTATTTTCTTGCCCTGACGCTTACAAACATGGAATGCAAAACAATGTTTTGCTGCAAGCACTCAGTCTTCAGGTGAATGGATGGTTGACATGAAGCTGCAACTGCAGTATTTTGACCTTCCCCACCTCCTTGCGCCGAAGAGGAGATGTGGTATGAATGACAGCCAAGGCTGTCTCTGCTTCAGCAAGACAAGGAAGTGTCTCTGCCCTCTCTCTGGGAGGAGATCAGGCAGGATTAGCGAGGGGCACTTCTGGGGCATCTGGCACTGTGCTATGCAGATATGCCATTAATTTAAGGTAGGAGGCGATGACCCACCCAATCTACTTTCGGTTGTTCCCTAGCACTGTTCAAAGGTGCTAGGGAGCTTTTGCTCTCATTTCTGCACCCGAGTCTCCTCTTGCAAAGGCACCTGGTAAAATGTAATACCTCTGCCCCGCTCTGTCTCCATTCTCGTCTAGTAATTGGGAAAGGTTGGCTCTTCCCACTGTCCTCACTGATCCTGTCTGTTGTGAATACAGTCTGGGTGTGCTGTGTCTGTCTTGTTACTTTTGGTCTTTCCAAAGCTGGTGAGGGCCACCACATTTCCTGCAGTAGGAATGGGAATACTTTGTTCCATCTGTTGACTTGTTAGGTGAGTAATTTTTCATCCATTATAAAACACTCATAGAAATCAGACATTAAAGGAAAGAAAGATATTTTCTTTGTTTCATTTAGATTTGTTTGTGCTGGTCTAGCCCCAGTAATTGTGGGGCATTAGTCCCTGTTTGTGCCAGCGTGAGTGCAACACACTCCAGAATTGGGCCTGCTGTATTACGAGTTAGAACAAACACATTTATTAGTGTTTGACCTACTGGTCTATGAATAGACATCCGAATTGAAAATTAATTTGTTCTTTTAAGTAACTTTGTGCCAGGTCATTTAGAGGCTTACAAATAGCAGTGGCAAGACATTTCTCATACCAGCTTGCAAAAGGTAATTAGAGCAGTCCCTCATATAGTTTACAATGATATTTATGAAAATTACCTTTGTGGAACTGCTCTTGCTGCTTGGTTGTAAAGAATATTTAAAGGATTTAAAGTACTGTGTGAGAGGTTTTACGTAATTACTTCACAGTGGTCCAAATGAGGTATAACTAATGAATTTACAATAGCATAGCAGCTCAGACTGTGGAGCTGCATTCATTCCTCTCACTAGTCAGTGACAGGAAAATCTTGTTTGCCGTATTATCAGTGTTATGTTTAAAGGAAATGTTATCCCACAAAACGTCAGGTTCTGTGATGAGTGTAGTGACATAGTCTGTGGTGAGGTGATCAGCTGGAAATGTGAAATCTCTAGGGATGTAGAAAACTTGTCAGAATGTAAGAGACTTGCCCCCTGGGTTTGGTAATGCTATGGTCTTCTGGAGAAACCTACCTGTGGAGCAGACTCTGGATCTGCCTGACCCAGTAGCCTACTTATTCCCTGAGCAGCATATATTTAAAAAAAAAAAAGCTAGAGAGGAAGATTTTAGAGCTGCAGAGTACTTATCTGTTATGTAATTAGCTCTTTGAGGGAACAATATCCCTCCCATTTGAATTAGAGATATTTAAAAAAAAAAAAAGCTAGAGAGGAAGATTTTAGAGCTGCAGAGTACTTATCTGTTATGTAATTAGCTCTTTGAGGGAACAATATCCCTCCCATTTGAATTAGAGGTCATTTTATAGCCTGATGGGTAAGAGCTTACAGCCCTTGGCAATGCTCTTGGGGACTCTCTCCTGCTGATATTTACTGTCAGAACTATGAGTGTTTGTTACCCACAGAAAAACATCTTTGAATCCTGTCAAACGTAGCATGTGCCTGGGCATCTTCAAGTGCAGGGAGAGCAGAGTCCTCTGGTCTGCCTTCACCCAGACATGCAGACACAGCCTCAGGGGATTTGGGCAGCGGGTGATGGGCACAGACTTGATTAGAGAACAGTTCCTCCATGAGGGCTGTGAGGGAGTGAAGCAGCTGGGGTGGAGCTGGATTTCTTAGCCGACTCATTTCTTATGGGTGTTGTGGCAGACAAGAGCATGAAGGGGACTCTGAGTGAAGAACAGGTGGTAGCGACACACTGCTGCTTTCCATACATCATCTCTCTGAAGAGGTATGAAGATAGACAATCATGACTCTTGCCCATTTCTTTCAGCTGCACTTATGCAGGTTTACCCACTGACCTTGGGAATCTTTTATTTCTTGTCCTCCCTCCTGTCCTTTCTCATTCCCTCTCACACTCTTTCTCACACTAGCTAGAGATTTATGAGGATGCTGGGGAGTTGCTCCACCTCTGCTGGGTGTTAGAAGATAAGAAGCTGCTCAGGCAGCAGCACGTTTCCCCCACTGTCACCATTTCTCCTGCAGTACTTTCACTGATCAATACTGAAAGCTTCAGCAGAAGAAAAAACCATATATATTTATTCTTAAAACACAAAAGTTGTATTCCAGAGAGGCTGTTCATTAGGAGGAAGAGGGTACTTTAAAACTACTTCAGCAGTTCTCTAATGCTGCCTTGACAGCTGAATCCCAAGTTCACAGCACTGGAGAATAAAGCATTTGGTAATGGACTGCTGCTGCTATTCATCTCCGGGTACAAGAGACTCATCCTATCTCCTCTAGTGCCAAGTTGAACAGCATCGCACCAATTCAGCTCTGTACAAGGAGAGGAATATGTTACCTTGCTGCTGCCTTCACCTGTTCCTTTTCCTTTGCTTCAGTGTGCTGGTTTTCTTGTGTATTTCACAGTCTGTTTACGAGAGAATTTCTGGTTTATTAAAATTCCTTTTTTTTTTTTTCATCTTGCCCTCTCCAAACATTAAGCAGCAAAAGCTTTACACAATCAAGAGCAATACTCATTCCTTTGTACTCTTTAGATGTGGGGAGCCCTTCTTAATTAGAAAAAGGAGGAAGGCAAAGTTTTCTCCCAGAATGATGGGTGTTCTCTTAAATTCTGACAATAGCTGAGAAATCCTTGGAAAAGATGTTCTAGCCAAAATTCACTCAGCTGAGTGAATCAGACATGCTGTGAATAAATATTCCAGTTTGTCGCTTGCCACGTGGAGTCCTTTTGTTCCTTAGCCCTGCATCTGATTTGGGGATTTGGGAGCTGGGGAGTGCAAGTATGTATGTTTGGGTTTTTTCCCCTTAGAAAATACAATTCCATGTTGCATTAGGACGGGCAGTGCTTCTTGTTACATCCTGCTGTTATAGCTCGAGGTCATTGGTACAGACTTATCTCGGAACCTGCGGACAGTGTGCATGTGTGTGTGCAAGCCTGTGTCTTAGAGTTCATGCCTTGGGCCCTTCTCTTATTGCTAAAAGTAAATCTTTTGTCAAAACTAGTGAGGGCTGGAAATTTTACCACTCAGTACCATTAGGAGCAGGGGGTGCATTGCTTCTGTACAACTTTACTTGGATTTAACATCAAACCTTTTGGGTAGTCAAATGTTGGTTTATTTGCATTGAAGAAATCTTTCTAGTAGAGCAAATAAATCTATTCCTGGTTCAAAGGAGTCATTTGACTTTACGGCACCAAAATTGTAGAAACAGAACATAATTGGGGTTTCTTCCTTCTTTTATCCCCAGAGAATGAATAAAGTCTCTAGTGATAGAAATTACCATTTAATAATGTATTCTCCGGTGAAAATATCTGGGGTTAGAACAATCCTGGATACTCACTTAAATTCCCCACCACCACCACTGATTCTGATGAATGGAGATACTGTTCTTTCCCTTTCCTCAGATGAAATCTGGGCAGATCGTTTCTGGCCAAGGATCCTCCCTAGAAAAGGGGGTCTTGAAATGCAGACCCGTCTTGTCCTTCCTGGTTTCTGGAAACTACAGAGGTGTGCTTTGCTTTTGGTGGCTTCATAGAGTCATCTTGGAGGTTGATACTTATGCTTCAAATAAAACACAGGCAGGCACAATATTGAACTGTTTTTTCTTGTCAATCTTTTAACTGTTTGATTAATTTTTAATTATCAAATCATAGAAAAGCTTGCCTCCACCCAACCAAATTCAAAACATCTCAGCCAGGTGTTGGACTGATGAAGAAAACCACGTGACAGTAGCTGTTTACCCATGATGAGACTTCTTTCAGAGGAAACTTCTAAATGAGTACACAGATGTGTTGATCTAGTAACAGCAGGTAAAACGATAAGGGAGAACATGTTGGAGCACCTGACGGAGCAGTGTCATGCACCACCTTTTGGACTCTGACACCCTTCTGCCCCCGAGCAGCATCTGTTATTTTTTCAGGACAGAAAATAACTCCCATAAATCCAATGCCGCTCAGCCCAGCATAGGCTGGGAGTTTTGAAGCAACATGAAACAGTATTTCACTAAAATAAGCACTCCACAACTCACATTCACACAGTTTTCATTGGACTCATAAATGTGAGAGGACTGTGGGACTCTGTTAATCTGGCTGTATTAACTGTAAGTTTCCTTTTCCAGTTTCAGAATAAAAGAGATTTAAAAATCATTCTTACGGTCAAGGAAAACAGACAAGTTAGTCTACTTGGTTTGAAGTGTAATTTGGATTCTATTTTTAGTGTTCTCTTACTTGCTTTCAGATGACTTTGTTACAGTTTGTCTCTGAAATAGTTGAGCCATGTTTACCTTCAGGTGTGTCAGTGAACAAGGTGTCATTTTCAACAGCAAGTAGTGTTATTTAGGGTCCTCAGTTTTTCAGGCTACTCCTAGAAAGCCAATTTGTTAAGGCAAGTGTGTTAACGTTTTTCTGAAAATGGGTGAAGCCGGGCTCCCAAAATGACCAGTGACTTTTTGATCGATTGGTGCCTGTCAAATACCTTTAGATTCTGAGGCAGGAGCCGTCACTGAACTGGAAGGGGTTGCTTTGTGGGTATGCCGTGGTTTGCATTTCTCCTGCCTGCTTCTAAAACACTGGGAAGCTTGTCCTGGTAGCTCACAACAGTAAACCTGGCAGGCTGTGAAAACCCACTTTCCTCACGAAGACGAGCACTCCCTGGCTGTATTCTGCCTTTTCCACAGGTACACGCTGGCGGCGCAGGACCTGGTGATGCGAGCCAGGGGAGTGCTGAAGGACCGGGGCTGGCGAATATCCAACGACAGGCTGGGCTCTGGAGATGACATCTCTGTCTACGTCATCCCTTTAATACATGGGAACAAACAGTCGTGAAAGTAGCATCAAGAGTGGTTATAGGATGGGGATCTTTTTGGGAAGGGCCTGTAAGAGACAATATGGTTTTGGTGATCTGACCAGGACACTTCCAGTTGATGTAATCTATTCCAAACTAATGCTGGAGGGGTATTTTTCTGCCCAAAAGGTAGGGCTCTGCACATATACTGTATATGATTAAAGATAACCCTTGAGATTACAGTTTCCCTATAGAAATGGTTTTGGTGCTTAACAGGAATGGGATTTAAATGCTGCTAGCATATTATGGGTTCTGTCATCCCTTCAGGTGGGGAATCAATTTTCTTCTCAGTTTACCATGTAGCTTGGAAGAGCCATTTCAGTTGAGAAAGTAGAAGTGGGTATCAGAAGCCAAGGAGGCTCCTGAAATCTACCCCCAAATATTCAGAAGGTGACTTGGGTCACATCTCATTTAAAAATACCTATATATACATATATGAGACTCGAGTTTTCTTCTTTCAGAAAGTTGCATTCATGACTTACCTATGGACAACTTCAAACTTGTGTAATCCTTCGAACCCCCATTTTCCTCTCCTGTCTCTTCTTCAGTAGACTGTATTCCTGTATTTTAGTAGGAAAACTGAAATTGTTTTCAGTGTGACTATGCCTGTTTACTGCAGTTAAAACAGCCACCTGCAAAGGTCCGGGAGAAATAGGTCACAGTTCTGTATGGCAAGATTTATTCTGGTGTGAGGAGTTATTTCTCAAGATTCCCTGTTGTGTGTATACCATGATTATACAGAGCACACAAACTCAACTTTATGTGATGTTTACCTGGAGGCCATGGTTTCTTTGGGATCAGAGATTTTTCATTCGTTGAATGGTTCTGCCTGCTTTATCCTGTTGAAAGGATCCCTGACCATACAGCTTTTGCATCAGTTGGGATTCAGTAAATTTATTTGGGTATTTTTTGTTGGATTCCTACTTGAAGTGGTGGTATTGTTCTCGTTATCAATTTGGATACCCAGATAGTGACCTATTTAAAAGTCGTTTCACTTCTTCCTGCCTCACTTATTATTCAATATACCTTTGCCTGCTTGACTCGGTGATCAGAAAGTGACAGCTTATAACTTTGTCCTCTTGGTATTGAGGACTGTAGTCAAGCATCAAAAGATCACTGAGATAGATACAAGCCCATGGCTAGCTTCAGCAGCTTTTTTCTTAGCAGTGGTGAATCAACTTAAATAAAGAAAATCTGAGAAAACATTATCAGAGTAAAAGTATTAGTCCAAGAGGGAAACAACTGAGCAAATCTGCAGCTTAACCTGGCTGCCTGTTCTTCAAGCAGGCAGCTCCCTTACTTCATTGGCAGGAATTCAAGAAAAAAATTCAGAAGGTTCTAGTGTATAGGCAGGTATAGTGGCTGGGGAGCCAAGTTCAACCTAATTTACACCCTGACCACATTATTTTGGAGCTGCTCATCTGGCTTGTACTTCTTGGATAGCCAAAAGATAAGGGGCTGACATAATTGTAGGGCACTGACTAAGCAGCTCACAAATGTTGCGTCCTTTCCGGAGGAGAAAGAGGATGCCGTGCCCTTTGCAGACTTTCTCCTGAACAGGCGTGGCCTAGAGCTTGCCAGTTTTGTGATTTATAATGTGCTCTGTAAACACCATGCAGCGGGTGTGCAGTATAGCTGCCCAGATGCTTTATTTGATTGCATCTGGAAGTACGTGTGCAACAGTCTCAGTGGATTTAAACTACCCTTGCTCTACGTCTCTAGACCCAGTAGGAGTTTCAGCTTGAGAGGAGGCAATGCAGAGTAACGGCTCAAACATGCAGCAAACTGCATGGTTTTAGCCTGAAAACTGTTCCGTGCATTCCCCGGTGCCTGCATGTGATAAAGCTGTGCAGAACACGGATGTTTTATATTCTAGAGCTTCAGCATAGATCAATGGCATATCTGATTATGTGTTGTCATGCTTTATCTATTCTTTCCTTATTTTTTTTTTCCCTTTACCTCTTTTTCTGTGTGCAGCTGGGTGAAAAGAGAGGTTTGGAGTCTAGAATATTTTTCACATGGCCCCTCACATGTTTTAAAGTTTAAGCAAGAGAACTTCTCTTGCACTTTTTTTTTTGGCCTAATAAACTTGTAAACATGCTTTTCATGCTCTGTGTAACTCCTGTTGTCTCTTTGCAAATGCAGTTGTGTAGTCCTCTAGCAATTCAGATCCTCTTTCACAAAGAAACTAATGCTGGCAATTCCGGCGGAGTCGTCTGAACAGCAAAGAAGCTGGTGCTTGCTGGTACTAACTACAAGCCTGAGTCAAATATTTCAGTGCCCACGCAGTGGTAGTCTTCATTATTTGGTAACGTGGTGTCAACACGCATACCAGTCATTATAAAACCTGAGTACAATGTGGTGGAACTAAATTTCCAGTGTAGCATTTGCCAAAATTTAAAAGTGTAATCTCAAGGCAATGGAAAATGCACCTTCTCATTCAGCGGTGTGTTTAAACGTACCCCTGGAGAGATGGGTTAGCAGAGTGCATGACTTGGTGGGAGCAAACCGGCTGGTGACTTCTCAGAGCAAAATCTCGTGGGCGCTGGTATGGCTTCGTGAATCAACTTCCAATATGTTTGTTGGTCATCTGAGGTATTGCTGTCAGTCAGCCTGCTTCTCTGCAGCGGCTGTGCCCAGGTGGAGTTGTGTTAGCTATCACACCCTCTCCTGGAAAGGGTGGAAGTACAGTATCAACAATTAATATCAATTAGCATCAATTAATAAATTCTGAGAACTTCAAAGGATAATAAAAAGCTTCCTACTCAGATGTATGTGACTGAAACTATGCTGTGATGCTTTTTGTTTTGCTTTTTTACAAAGTATCTGTTACACAATTACTTGCCTCCCTAGAGCGTACTTCTCTGATATGCTGTGTTAGTACTTGGGCTTTCGCTTCTATCTGCGTTCACTAGGACCTTCTTACGTGCCTGCACTGTGGTCCGTGCTCTGCTTCAAGGCATAGTATAAATACATATACACACCAAAGCCTCGTATAAATAGGAGGCAGGAGTCATTTATTGGGGAGGTATTGTGTGAGGAGCAAGAACAATTAAAAGCATTTCCGATTCCCTTTATAGGTTGAATTATTTTGGGAGTCACAACATTAGAAACCACTGATGGCAGGGAGGATCCATGGTGCACAATACCGTTTTTCATGGATATTGCTATGTGCAGACTTGCAGCTGCTCTAGGGCTCAGTGAAGCTCCTGTGTTAGGACCAGACAGCTTGCCTCCTCAAACTGCAGCAAGTTAGGCACCAACTCCCAATTTTAGATCCTTGGCATGTCATCTTAGTTACTGCCTGATGCTGGAAGCACTCCGGGGTTTTTTTGCCAGTCAAGTTCCCTTAGTATCCAAAATTGTTTAAGCCTCAGTAGCAAGGAACCTCAGTCCTGAGTTACATCCGTATTCATACTGCTCTTGCACAGTGCTGCGTCCTTGCCTGTACATAGACACTGCTTAGAAAGTCAGGGAAGTTCTTGTCCTTCCTCGGACAACGGCGAGGAAAGGAAACAGTATGTCATATGGTTCAGGCTAGCCGACAGTGCAATGTAGGCACTGTCTTCTGGTGCCTAGTCCAGTCCAATTTCTAGAAACTCGAAACCAAGAAGCTTCCACCATTCTCCTGTGAATGCTGTTGCGGAAGGTAGTACAGCCATTTCGGACATTTTTCTCTTGCACTACAGCCTAAAATCTTCTTCGTTTAATTTGATGAAGAAGGTAGTTAGAAATTTTGTTTACACCTTAAGTGAGGCACGCAACCATCTTTTGGTACATTAATGCAATGATGCTTCCTTCATGAACACAAAAGCATGTTGTCTGAGAGGGCTGATGTTCGGTGGCCTCATGCTGGAGAGAGAGGTTGGTTTTTTTTTTTCATAAATTCTAAGAAACAGCAGGGCTAAAAAGCTAAAGGAAAAGTGGTCAGAGTCTGCTGTTAGCAGTGGATTTCCATATTAAAGTTACTTCCATGTTAAAATATGACAAGAGAGGTCTGTGAGGTACAGTTGACTCTGTGCCTCCAGGATATTTTTGAAGAACTGCACTTAATGTTTTGGGCAGCTTTTGGCTTTGAACTTTTTGCTAGGTTTTTAAAGAACACTACACACTCCAAGCAAATCTGCTGTGTTTCTTCCTGCCTCAGTGTTTTGCTTTTATTTTACATTTTATGCACAAATACTTTCAACATTTTTGTATCAAACATGAATTGCAAACTGTGTGGAATTGTTGTTCCTCCCCAACGTTTTTGGTATGTAAATAGTTTTCCTCCACGTGTCTTAGATAAAGATATAGTGATGTGGCTGCCATAGAGAGAGTGACCAAACGATGCTGTAACTGTGCTGCTGTATTTCTGCCTGTGATGTACTTGAAGGAGGGTGCCCTTGTCCGCCTCCACTCTCACTCCTTTTTCTTTCTCTCTTTTTTTTTTTTTAACCATTGCTGGTGGCGGTCTTTCGTAGGTGTCTTATTTTGGTTTGGGATTTTTTTTTTTTTTAATAGCTGCCACCTTTTTCTTTCCTTCATTGGACAAGTCATCTTGTTTTGAGATCTGTACAACTGTCTAGGTTTCATATGTCCTGAAGAATGGAGGACCTGCTGGAGGAAGATGTTTTGGACCAATGTACTTCTGCTTTGTGACTGTGAAATGTTAATCTTTTTGTAACCTAAGAACAAAAAAATGTTTAGTAAAGGGATATATTTTGTGTTTTTTGAAACTTTTCAGTGCAATGAACAAGAGGAGGATGCTGAAGAAGTGTATGCGCAAAGTTTTAAAATAAAGTTTTAAATTATATATTATATATATCCATCTATACCTACAACCATTATTATTCTGCCTTTGTCCTGAAACGTACCTAAGTCTCTGTGTGTGTATTACTAATTGTGCAATACAGACAAGTAGTGCACTCTGCTTTACAAGGGAATGGACGATTCACTGACAAAAGGTCTCACTCTCGATTTAATGAAGTAAATCCCTGTG